AAAAGTATTTAATTCGAAACACAGCTTGTAATATTTGGTTTTAATTTGGCTTTTATCGGGGTTTATTTTCTGTATTTTTGTATTTTGTAATTTTTTGTATTTTGTGTTTATTATTTGTTTTTAATATGCTGTGAACCGCCCTGAGTCCTAAGGGAGAAGGGCGGTATATAAATTAAAATAATAAATAAATAAATAAATAAATTTTAAATTTGGTTTTTAAATAACTTTTAAAAAAGGAAGAAAAGGCCCATATTAATATTTCTTTTTAACTACATTTTAAATTTTGTATATTGTATTGATTGTTTTGTTTTAAACTGGCTGTAAGCCGCCCTGAGTCCACCAGGAGAAGGGCGGGGTATAAATGTAATAAATAAATAAATAAATAAGATATTTCTTCTCTTTTCCCCTTAACATTTACTGTCTCGTATTCAAGCTGGTATATTTCTAATTATATCAACTCAAGTTGATAGAATGGCTGAATTTTGATCACGTGACCACGGGGACGCTGCAACGGTCGTAAATGTGAAAAACGTTCGTAAGTTGGGTTTCTCAGTGTCAAAACGGTCACTAAACGAACACTTGTTAAGTTGAGGACTACCTGCATGTCAGATTCAGCTTGTCTTCAACTTATCGACCATTCGGTTAGCGTCCATTCCAAGTTAGGACAGCACTAAAATAAGCGACTTACAACTAGTCCTTGCACTTACGACTGTCCGAGCGTCCCTGAAATCGGGGCATTTCGGCAGCCGGCTCAATTTTACGACGCTTCCAGCATCGTGGCGGGGGGCCCCCCACGTGATCGCCCCTTGGCGACCTTCCCAAAGGATTTTCCGGCCGGCAAAATCGACGGAGGATGCGGGATCCGCTTAACGACCGCGGCGAAAAAGGGTTTTGTAAAATCTGGTGTGGTCGTGTAATGGCCCACTTAATTGACCGCATTGCTTAGACAGGCAGGTTCCAGACTCAATTACAGTCGTAAGGCGAGGACAATCTTAATTGTAGGGGGTTGCCTTTTGGCAGCACTTGTGAATGGACTCAAAATGCTCCATAAACATCCTCTTTTTCTTTTTCCTTTTTGGTAGATTTTATCTTCAGAACGCCCGTCACCTTGGCCAAGCATGGAGAAGTTCAAGAGGAATATAAAAGCCACTTGCGAAAGGTAAATTTTATTTATCCAATGCAGGGGTGGGGAACGTGGGCTCTTTTATGACTCGTGGACTTCAACTCCCAGAATTCCTCAGCCAGCATGGGGGAAACTTTGGCCCCCTCATGACTGGTGGACTTCAACTCCCAGAATTCCTCAGCCAGCATGGCTCAGCTTGGAAACCTCTCCCTTTTCCCTCAGCCTGGCTGGCTGAGGAATTCTGGGAGTTGAAGTCCACGAGTCATGAAGGAGCCATAGTTCCCCCATGCTGGCTCAGGAATTCTGGGAGTTGAAGTCCACCAGTCATGAAGGGGCCATAGTTCCCCCATGCTGGCTCAGGAATTCTGGGAGTTGAAGTCCGCAAGGCGTGAAGGGGCCATAGTTCCCCCATGCTGGCTCAGGAATTCTGGGAGTTGAAGTCCCCGAGTCATGAAGGGGCCATAGTTCCCCCATGCTGGCTCAGGAATTCTGGGAGTTGAAGTCCACCAGTCATGAAGGAGCCAAGGTTGCCTACCCCCGATCCAATGTATTCACAGGCAGTCCTCGATTTAACAGCTGTTCATTTAGTGATCGCTCAAAGTTACAACAGCACTGAAAAAAAGGGACTTAGGACCGTTTTTCCACCCTGACAACCGCTGCAGCATCCCCAACGGTCACAAGATCAAAATTCAGACGCTCAGCAACTGACTCGTACTTATGATGGTTGCGGCGTCCCAGGGTCACGTGATCCCCTTTCGGGACTTTCCGACAAGCGGAATGGGGGAAGCAAATTCTTATCCAAGGACCCGCTGTTGCTCCTCTTCCACTTCCTCCTCCTCTTATAAAACCACCCTGGTTTTCCTCGATTCCTTAGCTGAGACATGAAAAATGGGCAGAAGAGAAAAAGCCGGAGGATTTGATTCACAAGCTGATGGCGGACGATGCTGAAGTGGACAGGAGAAGGACGGACGATCAGAAGAAAGAGGAATCCCTGATGGGCAGAACCAGCCACGAACATGTAAGTTGACCGATGGATCCGGCTCGGCTTCTTTGCCAAACCGGTTAATCTTTTGCCTTTTATTTATTTATTTGTTAAACGAAATCCAGTAGAAGGGACCTTGGAGGTCATCTAGTCCAACCCCCTGCTCAGGCATGAAATCCTATACCATTTCAGACAAGTGGCTCTCCAGTCTCTTCTTAAAAACTTCCAGTGTTGGAGCATTCACCGCTTCTGGAGGCAGGTGGTTCCACTGGTTAATTGTTCTCACTGTCAGGAAGTTTCTCCTTAGTTCCAGGTTGCTTCTCTCCTTGATGAGTTTCCATCCGTTGCTTCTTGTCCGACCTTCAGGAGCTTTGGAGAATAGCTTGACTCCCTCTTCTTTGGGGCGGCCCCTGAGATACTGGAAGGCTGCTATCATGTCCCCCCTGGTCCTTCTTTTCGTTAAACTAGACATCCCCAATTCCTTATATGTTTTAGTCTCCAGTCCCCTGATCATCTTTGTTGCTCTTCTCTGCACTCTTTCTAGAGTCTCAACATCTTTTTTACATCGTGGTGACCAAAACTGGATGCCGTATTCCAAATGTGGCCTTACCAAGGCCTTGTAAAGTGGTATTAATACTTCATGTGATCTTGATTCTCTCCCTTTATTAACAGTGGTTTGTAATTAAATGATGGTTTATATGACACTATCTACAAATATACACTAGAAACAAGATAGATACACGTGGTGAAATAGCAAACTCCAATATACAGCAGTCAAACATGAGAGAGAAGACTCCAGCAAAAAACCCTTCCCTTTTATACTCAGACTCTTAAAGGGATACACACACCCGCTGAGTCATTCCTATTATTGCATCATCCACATTACATATTTATTGTTCAATCATTAAACCTTGACCCAATCCCTGATTTTTCTTTGCTTACCGGCAGTTTCCCGAGTGCCTGTCGGATTCGGAGAACGAGGAGCCCTCCCAGGGCCGACCCGTGTATCGGTCGGCTTTCGTCTCCAAGGGCAACGCCTACCCCATCGCCTCGCTGGCCGGGTGAGTCTCCCCTGCTGTGATGGGGGATCGAAAAATTAGTTAGTTAGCAGCACGGTTGTTAAGCGAATCCGACTGCCCCCACTGACTTTGCTTTTCGAAAGGTCGCAAAATGTCCTGGGACATTGCAACAGTCATAAGTACAAGCCAGTTGCCGAGCATTTGAATTTCGATCACGTGACCGTGAGGATGCTGCAACGGTCGTAACTGTGAAAAACGGTCCTAAGTCCGTTTTTCAGACGGTCACTAAACGAACTGTCGAGGACTGGCCTGTATTTCAAAGGGCAGGCCGGTGTTTTAATAACGGCAATAAATAAACTGGCTTAAATGCGCAGCTTAAATAAAGCGGCTAATGTTGTTCTTTCTCCACTCTTTTTTTTTCTTCTTTTGCAAAATCTCCGTAGAAATTTTAGCTCCAAAGTCGAAAGGAGTCAAAGTTGCAACGATACGCTGGGGAATCGATCGAAAAGCAGGCAGAGATCGGCTCCCGTCAGAACAAAGGTACCCAGATCTTTGTGATACGTGGGGAAAGTCATTGTTGTCTTAAAAGAAATAAAAATCTCGAGTTTTCCTCTAAAAGGGATTCCTAAAAGGATACTAGCCATGTACATGGAGACCGTGATGGAGCCTGTCCATTATTGTTTTATGTCAGGGGGTCTTCAAACTTGGCCCCTTGATGACTTGTGGATTTCAACACCCAGAATTCCTCAGCCAGGCACGCGTGCCTGGCTGAGGAATTCTGGGAGTTGAAGTCCACAACTCATCAAAGGGCCAAGTTGGAAGAGCCCTGGACTTCAACTCCCAGAATTCCTCAGCTAGGCACGCTGGCTGAGGAATTCTGGGAGTTGAAGTGCACAAGTCATCAAAGGGCCAAGTTTGAAGACCCCTGTTCTATGTCATAAAGGTTGTAAAATGGGTCAGTCACGCGGCCGATCTAATTTTGATGACCCTTTTTGCAACAACTGTAAAGTCATTGGGCGAACCAACAATTTACTATAGGTTGAATTTTACTGAAAAATGCAAGTAAAGTAAAATTTTGCCCCAAACAGGAAATAAGTAGAATGCAGTCACATGCCTGTAGGACCCTGTAAATCAACGACTACCTGTCTTTTAATAATTTGATATTTAATTTTGTGGGAGAGGCGATCAGAATCAGCGCTGGTTCCCCCTCCTCTGTTGTTCTGAATTTATCTCCCGTTTTGTGTCCCAAAGGTGCTTTTTCAAGAGGCAGCTGGACTTTCTCATTATTTGAAGACGTTTCGCTTCTCGTCCAAAGAAGCTTCTTCAGCTCTGACTGAATGGTGGGGAGTGAAAGGATTTATACTCCTTGCAGACATCCGGTCATTTGCATCCTTTTAGAGGGTCGTTGAGGCCACCTGGAGGCTTACCTGTGTCCTCAGGGTCACCTGAGTGGGGCAAAGGGGTGTGGAGCCTTCTTGGAACTGCTGAAAGGACGGTGTTGTATAAACATAGATAAACCTCCAAGTGGCCTCAACAACGACTCTCTAAAAGGATGCAAATGACCAGTTTTTCTGCAAGGAGTATAAATCCTTCCACTCCCCACCATCCGCTCAGAGCCGAAGAAGCTTCTGGGATGAGAAGCGAAACGTCTTCAAGGAAAAACCCAAAGGGGCTTTTTTCAGGAGGCAACTGGACTTCTTTGTCTTTCTTTGAAGACGTTTCGCTTCTCATCTTCACCATCCGCTCTGACTGGATGGTGGGGAGTGAAAGGATTTATACTCCTTGCAGACAGCTGGTCATTTGCATCCTTTTAGAGGGTCGTTGAGGCCCCTTGGAGGTTTGCCTGTGTCCTCAGGGTCACCTGAGTGGGGCAGATGGGTGTGGAACATGGTCCTTTTACCAGTTCCAAGAAGGGTCCACACCCATTTGCATCACTCAGGTGATCATGACACAGACAAATCTCCAAGTGTCCTCAATGGCCCTCTAAAAGGATGCAAATGACCAGTTTTTCTGCAAAGAATATAAATCCTTCCGTTTCCCACCATCCAGTCTGAGCCGAAGAAGCTTCTTGGATGAGAAGCGAAACGTCTTCATGGAAGTCCAGTTGCCTCTTGAAAAAGCACCTTTGGGACAACCGTGACCTGGAATGATGGAGAACCTCCGTAGACTTCCCTTTTGTGGCGCCATCGCTGACTGAAACGGTTTCTCTTGCAGGTCAACCTCCTTGCTGGTGCCTCAGTTTCCCTGGTGGGCGTCCTCTCCTCCACCCAGAACAACCGCTGTCTCTCTGCTCCGGACCTGACCGCCGAGAAGCGCCTGGTGCTCTCCCACCAGGCGCCCTCTTCCTTCCCCGCCCTGCCCAGGCAGGAGCGCTCCATCAGCCCCGAGAGCAACGACAGCATCTCCGAGGAGCTGAACCACTTCAAGCCCATCGTCTGCTCACCTTGCACGCCGCCCAAGCAGCTGCCGGACGGGCGCGTGCTGAGCCCTCTCATCATCAAGTCCACCCCCAGGAACTTGACCAGGAGTCTGCAGAAGCCCACCACGTACGAAGCCAGCCCACGGATCCTGAAGAAGTGGGAGCAGATCCTCCAGGAACGTCAGGTCAAGAAGACCCTCTGCAAGGCCACCTTGACCACCTCGGCTCCTGAGTCAGGCGAACCTCCCAATCTCCCTGTCCTGGTCAAGTGTCCTTTGCCGATGTCCAGCTTGGTCTCGTTGCCGGACTCTCTCCCTCTCCTCTCTGTAGCCAAGTGCGACCGTTCCGCAAACGGTCGGAGAGACTCGGAGGCGACGGAGCTGACTCCCCACGTCCTCCCACCGAGAGCCGCCGAGAAGCTCCCCAATTCCAGGATTTCCGAGCCCCCCAAAGCGAAAACTGTTCCCCGCCTAGCCGGGCCTTGCCTTCACTTCGATGCCAAAACGTCGATGGCCCGGAAAGTCGTCCGAGTCAACTCGGCCTTGGAGAACGGCTCCCTTCCGGCCGAACGGAAGCCGCGCCGCTACTGGGACGAGAGCGAACTGCGCCGTCTCTCCAACGGCCTCCGTCTCGAGAGGGGGCTGGGCGAGGAGACCCCCTCCCTGCGGCGCGGGCAGAAGCGGCCGTGCAAAACCAAGCACCTGGACCCTTCGGTCAAGCGGCTGAGGCCGTCGGCCGCCTGTCGCAAAGGCCCTCCGGTCTCCGACTCGCGGCGACAGAAGAGGCGACGGCCGCCGAGCGGGACGGAGCAGAGACTACAGCAGGAGGAGGCCGACCGGCGGCTGGCCGTGCAGCTCCAGCGGCAGTTTCAGAGGGAGAGCCGGACACTGGAGCGGCCGAAGGGGCGAGCCGAGCAGTATTTCTTACGCTCCAAGAACGTCACCGGGGCAAAGTAGCCCTTCGCCAGCTACGTGACTTTTCCGAGAGTGCCGGGTAGACGTCGGCCGGTTCAGGCAGGCGGAGTCGTGGGGACCAGGAGTTCTCTCCGGTCAGTGCGGGAGACAGACGGAGGCCACGATCCGGAGCCTTCCTCCCCCGAGATGACTCCGAGATTATAAACCTCGCTCGCAGCGAAGGCCGTTTCGGATCTCGGATGGCCGGTCCGGCTCGTCCTGCCTCGAGATCCGAGTCGGTTACGGTAATGGGCGATCCGACGCTGCGAGCGGCGTTTGTCGTTTCAGGAGCAGCTCCGCTAGAAGGCTTGAAGACCCGGTGGCAGAAATGGTGGATTCGCCCCCCCCAAATCTATTTAAATCTATAATACAGGTAGTCCTCGACTTATAACCGTTTGTTTAGTGACTGCTCAAAGTTACAACCTCACGGAAAAAAGCGAGCTACGGCCATTTTCGCCACAATCGTTGCGGCCTGCCGAACGCTTGGGAGCTGACTCGCATTTATGACAGTCGCGGTGTCCCAGGGTCACGCGATCCCCTTTTTGCGTCCTTCTGACCAGCAAAGTCAATGGGGGATTCCCTTAACCGTGTCGCTAACTGAACAACTGCGGTGATTTGCTTAACAGCTGCGGCCGGGAAGGTGGTAAAATAGGTCAAAACACCCGTAAGCACTGTCTCACTTAGCAACAGAAATTTTGGACCCCGTTGCCGTCGTAAGTCGAGGACTATATGACGAACTCACTGGAGGAAGGAAAGGGCACTTGCTTGCTTTGAGTCCAAGCTAAGCATCAGGGGCTAGAGAGTACTTTTGGCTGCCTGATGGGGTATTTCCCCCCCGCCCCCTTTGGCTCTCCAGCCCCATCAGTCCTTGGTGTGGGGTTGTGTTGCAGCAGTGTCCAAACGCACACCCTGCTTTGGGGCAGGCAGAGCGCGGAACGAACGGCGCCTGTCGCTCGCTCTGACCAACATCTACGATGGGGCCTCTCCGCAGCCAGGCGACACGTCTGGAATCGAAGCCGCCAGGCCAGGATTCCCATCTCGGTTTATTTTAATTTTTTTTGTGGGTAGCCCAGATTTACGCACAAAACGTCTGGCGCAAGAACCAGAGGGTTGCAGAGTCCTCCGAAACGACTTTCGGTATTTGGGGTGTGTGTGTCATTTCAACAGAGTTGTGTTCCTCCCCGATGTTTGCAGGATCTTGAGAAATGCTTGTTTTCTGGCGTCGGGAGAACCTGGTTCCGTTTGGTGGCTTGACCCAAACCCAAGGCTTCTTTAAAAAAAGAAAGAAAAAAAAAGAAGTCTGCAGGAGTTTTGAGTGGCAGGTTCGATTCCCGCTCGCGCTTGTTAAAAAAAGGGGGCTGCGGGGGGCAGTTTTTCTCCCCCCCCCCCAGCACTTCCAAGGCCGCAGCTTTGGCTGACCCACGTGGCCGTTTGAAGCTCTTGGTGGCTAAACTTAAGTTTAAAGTTTAGAATTTAAATTAATCCTGGGAAAGTAGACACACACACACATACACACACACACACACACCGAAAAAACCCCTTTTTCCTCAATCACACGATCCCCCTTTGCCCGGCCTGATCCTGGCTGTCCGTCTGGTGCAGCGTTTCTCCTCTGCCTTGAGGATTTCGAAATCCAGATGTGTGGACTTCCACTCCCAGAATTCCCCAGCCAGCCTGAATTCTGGGAGTTGGAAGTCCACCCAAGCTGGGCGGAGGTATTGGGGAGTTGGTGTCCTGCCACCCTCCTGGCTGGGGCATGCTGGGGGGTTAAAGTTCACTCCTGCTGGGGCGTGCTGGGAGTTGAAGTCCACACCTTAAACTGGCCAAGGTTCTCGACACCCAGAGTTCCCTAGCCAGCATGGCAGGCTGGAAACTTCCAGAATGCCCAGCCAGCAAGCAGGCAGGGGGATTCTGGGAGTTGAAGTCCACATTTTTTTTTAAAAAGTCCCTGAGCTGGGAAAGGCAACTTTAGAGACTGACTTTGCTCTACCCGTACGAAGCCCCCCCCCATTCAAGATCCTCCTTATGATAATAAACTGACTTTCCTTGCGTCTGTTCTTCGCTTGGCCTGGCCTTTGATTTGGATTTAAAGCCTTTGTTTGTTCTTTTCTTTTCTTTCTTCTTTCTCTTTCCTTCCTTTCTTTTTCTTTCTTTCCTAGCTTCCTTTCTTTTTCTTTGTCTTCTATACTTTTTCTTTCTCTTCTTTCCTTCTTTCTTTTTCTGTCTTTTTCTTTCTTTGTCTTTCCCTTCCTTCCTCCCTCCCTCCTTTGTTCCTTCCTTCCTCTTTCTTTTTTTCTTTCTGTCTTTCCTTCTATCCTTCCTTTTTTCTCTCTTCTATCCTTCCTTTTTCTTTCTTTTTTCTTCTTTCTTTCCTTCCTTTTTCTCTTTTTCTTTCTTTCTGTGTCTCCTTCCTCCCTTCTCCCTCCCTTTCTTTCTTTCTCTTTCTTTTTCTGTTTCTTTCTCTTCCTTCTATCCTTCCTTTTTCCTTTTTCTTTTTCTTTCTCTTCTTCCTTCCTTTTTCTTTTTCTTTTTCTTTCTGTCTCCTTCTTCTTTCTCTTTCTTTCTTTCTTTTTCTTTCTCTCTCCTTTTTCTTTCTGTTTCTTTCTTTCTCTTCTATCCTTCCTTTTTCTTTCTTTTTTCTTTTTCTTTCTCTTCTTTCCTTCCTTTTTCTTTTTCTTTTTCTTTCTGTCTCCTTCCTCCCTCCCTCCCTCCCTCTCTCCTTCTTTCTTTCTTTCTTTCTTTTTTTCTTTCTTTTCTTCACCACTTATCCCAAAGGGTAGCTATGCATTCAGCCGTTTACCGGCATGGGTGAAAAGCAGGGCGTGGGGGGGGAGGGGCTGCAGGGAGAGAGAGATTTGGGCAGGACAGGAGTGGTCGCCAAAGGCCGGAGCTGAGTGCGAAACCTCCGTTTAGCTTTTGGGAGATTTACCTCCCAAAGTTTGCTCGGACTTTGGCAGCCGGTGTCCATAAGGGAAAGAAGGGCCCCCAAAACGGGATTTTTACATTGCATCGATCCTCACTGTTCTTTCCTTTAATTTGCTCCCGTGGATGTGTCACCCGTGGAAGCCAAGAAGGGAGAAAGTATAAGAAGTTATAAAAGACCTTAATAAATCAGGGGGTCCTCCAACTTGGCCACTTTAAGACTTGTGGACTTCAACTCCCAGAATTCCTCAGCCAGCTTCGCTGGCTGGGGAATTCTGGGAGTTGAAGTCCACAAGTCTTAAAGTGGCCAAGTTGGAGGATCCCTGCTCTAAATGGACGTATTTTTTGAAAGACAGGACTGACCTCGGAGCATTGTGAGCACAAACCGCCAGGAACATGCTCAATATTCTGATTTTTCACACCGCCAGCAAGATGCCCTTCCAGGACCTGAGTGCACAGGGGGTCCTCGTCTCACAGCCATTCATTTAGCGACCGTTCGAAGTCCCGACAGCCCCAAAAGAAATGACCAACGACCGTTTTTCAACCTTAGGGCCATTGCACCTTCCCCACAATGTAACGATCAAATTTCGGACGCTTGGCAACCGGCTCCTATTTATGACGGCTGCAGCGTCCCTGCGGTCACATGATCAAACTTCAGAGGCTTGGCAACTGGCTCGTACTTGCGTCCCGGGGTCACGTGATCCCTTTTGCGACCTTCTGACATGCAAAGTCAACGGGGGAAACCCAACCAGGGGATTAACTGCGGTGATTCATTTAACAACTGTAGCAAGAAACGCCGTAAAATGGGGGCACAACTCACTTAACAATTTAACCATAAAAGCTTTGGGCTCAGTTGAGGTTGTAAGTTGAGGACAACTTGCAGGGTCCCTTCGGAGAGGGTCCCCCACCCCAAATGTCCATCCTAATCTCCCTTTCACTTGGTCCCCCGAATCCCTGTCTGCCTTTTTAAATACAGGCAGTCCTCGACTCAACGACGGTTCATTTAGTGACCGTTCAAAATTCACGGCACTGAAAAAAAACGAATTGGGACTGTTTTTCACGCAACCGTTGCGGCCTTCCCACGGTCCCGCGATCGAAATCCAGCCGCTTGGCAGCTGCTTCACATTTATGACGGCGTCCCGGGGTCCTGGGATCCGTTTCCGGCACCTTCTGACAAGCAAAGTCCGTGGGAAGACAGATTCACTTAACGTCCGTGTTGCTAACTTTTAACACTTGAAGCGATTCAACAGTGACAAGGAAAGTCGTAAAGTGGGACAAAAGTCCCTTAGCGAGCGTTTCACTCGGCCATATCAATTTTGGGCTCAACTGTGGCCGTTAAGTTGAGGACTATCAGTATTGTATGTTTTTAGGAGTCTTAACGGGAGACACAAACGCGTTTCCCTGGATTTTTAAAAATGCCGCACACTCCAGGCCGGACATTCAGGATCCACTACGCCAGGGGTCTTCGAACGTGGCCCTTTGAGGACTTGTGGACTTCAACTCCCAGAATTCCTCAGCCAGACATGCTGGCTGAGGAATTCTGGGAGTTGAAGTTCACAAGTCCTCAAAGGGCCACGTTGGAAGACCCCTGGACTTCAACTCCCAGAATTCCTCAGCTAGGCATGCTGGCTAGGGAATTCTGGGAGTTGAAGTCCACAAGTCATCAAAGGGCCACATTTGGAGACCCCTGGACTTCAACTCCCAGAATTCCTCAGCCAGACATGCTGGCTGAGGAATTCTGGGAGTTGAAGTCCACAAGTCATCAAAGGGCCAAGTTGGAAGACCCCTGGACTTCAACTCCCAGAATTCCTCAGCTAGGCACACTGGCTGAGGAATTCTGGGAGTTGCAGTTCACAAGTCATCAAAGGGCCACGTTTGAAGACCCCTGGAATTCAACTCCCAGAATTCCTCAGCCAGGCACGTGGGCTGAGGGATTCTGGGAGTTGAAGTCCACAAGTCATCAAAGGGCAACGTTGGAAGACCCCTGGACTTCAACTCCCAGAATTCCTCAGCTAGGCACGCTGGCTGAGGAATTCTGGGAGTTGCAGTTCACAAGTCATCAAAGGGCCACGTTTGAAGAC